GAGTCTGTGGAGATTGTTCCCGCTTGAGGAGCAGCTTCATTTCCTATCACAGGTTAATTTCCCCACTTGAGGAGGTGACCTTGTCACGGGCTGGTCTGCCAACCTCTGCTTTTCTGGAATTTTAAGTGAACACATGTTGGAGACAATGACTGGAGACTTCCAGGCATCACAGCAAGGATCTGGGATACGACTTTGTAAAAGTTGGAGTTTGAATAACTATGCAAATCCTTAGCATTACTTTATTTACTGTTCTTGTGGTGTCTTCAGTCCTGTAGGAGATGCAAAGACTACATAAAATTCAAGGCTAAAACAAACTTACAAAACAGGGTCATGGATGTAAATTAGTGGTATAACACTCTGTCTGGCAAGTACAGGGTACTGTATTCAGTTCCCACTACCACCCCCAAAAAAGAAAAGAAAAATCCTTGCAATACAGACCCTCATTCACTGACGAACATGCTCACATGCCGGATTGAGCTGGAATGTGACCAGAGGAAAGGCAGGAGATAAACACATGCTGACAACAGAAATGCCTAGCTTCACCCTGCTGTTAGTCAGCCACTGGGCATCTGCACATCTCCTCCTAGGTCTTAGTGCATTGCTCATTCTTGACAGAATCAGGCTGCTAGCCAATGCTGCTTTACAAGTTTCCTGGACAAAGAGTAGACCAGTGCAGGAGAAGGAAACAAGCCCAGCCTTGGTTCTATGCTGTGCTAGTTGCTGCCTGGTCAGAAGTGTAGAGAGCAAAGTCATGGAATACATGTTTGAATAGCCTGGAGTGAGTGTGGTCATGCTTGCTACAGCTCACAGTGACAGTAGATTGTTAGAGTTGGAGAGGAACTGAGGTGAATAAGGAATGCAAGAGAGAGATGAATGAGCCAAAAGTGAGTGGGCTGAATGCAGACTGGAACCAATGGTCCCAGCTTATGCCTCAGACATGCTGCATCCAGCTGAGAGATGGCGCAACTCCGTATTCCAGATAAAGACTCAAAGGCATAGGGGCTAGACAATGTGCCATTTGCAAAAAGCAGGACAGGGCTTCACTTTCCGCCAGCTTTGTAGTTAGATCTGTAATTTCTTTATCTCCTTCAACTGACCTTTCTTTTTCATTGTATCGATATTTCTTTCCAAATGTTGCAGTTCTCTTTTGCAGGAGATGTGCCTTTGCGGTTCACCTCCAACTCCAGGAATCTTTCTGCTACTCTTGACAATCTTTCACTCTGTAGTTGATTTGCATGGCTCCTCTCCACTCCCCATTCCAGTTCTTTATTCCAAAATAATGACACCAATTAATGCATCTACCTATATTTGTATTATGGGTACTTTAAAGTATTCCAGGAATGTGAAACTTCTTAATGTCATGTTTAGTGGTTTTATGAATATGTATCATATAATCTTATGAGGAATTTATTACACAATTGTAAAGCATTATGTCATTAAATGCATAATCTTACACCCTATTGTAGGAAATGTTTAAATTTCCCCTTACTCTCTGAAAGTTGGATATTAATTGTGGTTACTGACATTTGAACCTAGGGTCTCTTACATTCTAAGCAACCACTTTGGCAGCCCTCGATAGTTTTAGTTTCTGATATCAACTGACAATAGACAGCAGTAAAAGGAATACATAAATGGTACTGTGAGCCTAGCTCATGAAAATAGGAGACCCCGAGAAGAGTAAGATGTCCTGTAGAAGCTAGCAAAGGAACATGTCTTGCCATTGCCCTCCCAAGCAGGGAGGAAGCCGTGTGCTCTAGAAGGTAGGCAGTTGGTGACCGTGCAGGCCTGGGTGGCCTTCCACAGATAAGGTCTCCCGGGACGTCGTCACCTATGAATAATATCACTCTGGGCAACTACCAGGTCCCTAACTGCTTCTTCCTGCAGAAAGGCCTTTTCTAGGTACGGACAGAGTGGGGATATCAAATGTGAGCAAGTCTGTCTGTATCTTCTATTTATTAATGCAGACAAGTATAAATTTATCATAAAAAGTTGCCTTTCAGAGTTGTTCCGGTCTGAAAAGTCTGCAGTGTCTCTGAAAAGCAAATTTGGAATATGGCCAAGGTATATATTTGTGTGGAATGCTTTCCTCCCCCAAGCTGTGATTTTCAATCAGGCTTTGCCTATGGGAGTCACATAGAAAGACCCAGGTTGGGAGCCTTCAGAGATCGGTGCTGGGGACCAGGCCCTGATGCTCACTCTGACCTCCTACTACAGAGCGGCAAAGCATGCAGCTCTTGCTTCAGGACAGAGACACCTTAGGGTCTCTCAAAGAGCTGTTGAGTCTGCTGTCCTTGCCTCAGTTAAACACCTAGGGACTGTGTGAGCCTTGCTGTGTTTATCAGAAGAACAACAAAAAGTGGCAGCAGTCTAGGTGGTCAATTGCTAGCTGAATTTTTATTTAAAGAAAGGCATCATCTACATTTTGAAATAGGGAATTGGGTATTCTTACACAGTACCTCTTGGAAGAAAACCCACAGCAGAAAAATACCCACGTGTAGAGGGACCCCCAGCAACAGTGAGCAAGCGAGGGGCAGCTAGCTTCCAGAGGAAAAACCATCGCAATCAGGAAGCACTAGGAAGACTTGGGCTTGGCTTCAGTGAGGATTGTCATCCTGGCTTTTGTTTTGCCTTGTTTTGAGAGGAGCCACGGCACTGAATGAGAGTCTGTACAGGGGGTGACAGTGAGAGCCCGCAGAAGGCTTTTCCTACCAATTGTCCAATACAGAACAGAGGCAGTGAGGATCCATGGAAAAACAGGTTTATGCAGCATGAACTGAGGTTACCCAAAAAAGAGTGATTCTTTCTGGATAAGCATTATTACAGGAAAAGCATTTGTAAGACAATTTCAAATTGACTAAACATTTAGGATACACTGCCTGAGCTGAAATTTTTAGTTATATTCATGGGATCAGTGAGAACGGAACAAGTAGGAAGTTTGAGGTGCTGTAAGACACAGTCTCCATTTATTCACTGGAGAGTGGAGGAGACTCACAGCAGCACGGCAGGACTCCAGTGTGTGAGAAAGATACACAGTTACATTTAAAATTTAACTTTATTCATTTAGTTATTTTGAGATTGAAACCAAATCCTTCACGCTAAGCAACATTCCAGCCATTTTTATTCTATTTTTCAAAATTTGGTAGTAAAGTCTTACTAAGTCACTAAGTTACTCAAGCAGGACTCAAACATGTCATCCTACTGCCTCAGTTTATCAGTGTGCTGAGATTACAATTGTGCAGCACAAAGTTCAGTTCAGAGTCATGTTTTCAGCTTTTAATCTTGGCTTCTGGTGATTGAGAATGCAAAGAGTAATTTCTAAATATAATTATAGGAATACATAAAAAAGATGAGACAGTAAACATTGGGGTGGATAAAGTAGATCACACAGATGAGAATATGTAGGCTCCACCACAAATAGGGCATGAAAGATAAAGCCTGGGATAAGTCTTCCCTATATCGTGAGTGAGAGGACTGGGAAAAGTTCTATGCAGAATGGGCCAGAGTGGAAACTTTGGCGTGCAGTGGGTGAGTGGAGCAGGTCTGCTGGGTGCTGGCTGCACACCTGGGCTCCAGGACCCTCTCCTTTCCACCTCACCAGCACTGTGCTGAGTGGAGACAAACTGGAGAAGGGTGTGGGGCTGACCTGACCTCCCTCCGGAGACACTGATGTGCAAAAGGAAAGTAATGCTTATGATGCATATCAAACTGGGAATGCTTAAGTTAAACACACAAATTTAGCACATCTGTGTACACTACATGGAAATTTTCATTTTCGAAAATCTGGAAACAAAATAGAAGGCCAATCAATCTCTATGAATTAGAAGGAAGGAAAACCCACAGAAAGAGAAAGAAAAAAGGAAACCAATGTCTTGACCCTCGAAAAAGAGCCTGGAGAGATTTTCTTTAAAAAATTATGTGAGTATAGAGAAATATGAAATACAACAGTCTGGTTTTAAAGTAGGATATATTTTGCCTCAAATTGTATTTATTTACTTAAAAATACTTATGTGGCACAAGACAATCCTCTAGGCAACTAGATAATTTCTAATTACTCTGAAAAATGACAATTATTTAACATTCTATAATAAAATATGAAACTATTCACTTTTTTCCAAAAAAAAAAAAAAAGCATAGAAGTATTTATTGCCTGGGATCAGCTGGCTTTGCTGGTCAATCCCAGGCATTGGTGCCTGATATCTCAAACTCTTGGAACTTGTCTGATTTTGTCTTCCTTCCCTGGTAATCACTCCCCTTTATACTTCGCTGAAAAAATCCACAAGTAAAATAGAGTGAATGCAGAGAAATTCAACAAAAGGACTCAAAGGAAAATGAAACCGCCTTCTCAGAATTTGTGAATCAGATGATGACTAGGAAACTGTGGAAGTATTAACAATGATATTACTTGATTTAACTTGTTCCATAAAGGGGATTTTATAACTTGTCAGAAAATTTCCCAGCTATTGTCACACAACCTACTTTGTCTGTTAAATAAGCAACTGACATTTAACAAATCACTTCAACCCCCAAACGAGGCTCACTTTCAATCATCTACAAATAAAAAACCATTCGGTATCTATACAAACATCTTCCAGATATACAGATATTTCCAGACACATAGTGGTTTGAGAAATAAAAATAAATGAAAAAACAGTATTTCTGTGACACAGTCTTACACATTTGCTACACATTCTCTCCACAGTAAATACATTCACCAAAGCCTTAGAAGAATCAGATCTTCAACTCTGACTTCCTCCTGCTGGGAATCTTCCATCACAGCCCCACCCACACCTTCCTCTTCCCACTGGTCTTGGCCATCTTCACATCTTCCTCCTGAATTTTTGGCACCACTGATGGTATAACAGTTGTGGTAGTTGCACTGATCTTCTCCTATTGTGGGTCCCATGAAATACCACTTTTTCCTTGATGTCCCTGCCTTGTTCACACTGTCATGCACAGACACCTAGACATTTGAACAAATAATGTTTTCCTGCTGTGCAATTATGCTTGTCTTCCCTGTAACAATCGTCATTGCTTCCTACACTCGTGTTATTCTGGCTGTTATCCACATGGGATCCAGAGAGAGTCGCCACAAAGCTTTTGCCACACGTTCCTCCCAACTCATGGTGGTGGGCATGTACTATGGAGCAGTGATGTTCATCTACATGAGGCCCACATCTGAGTGGTCCCCAACCAGGTACAAGATGGTGTGTATCTTCTACACCATCCTCACATCCATGCTGAATCTCCTCATCTGCAGCCTGTGCAACAGAGAGGTCATCAGAGCCTTCATGAAGATGTTAAGGTGGAGCAAGGTTTGAGACTGTGCTGACCAATTATCTCTTTAATTGGCTACATTCTACATTATTTTTAATACTCTTTTTTTAGATTCAGTTCTAAACATAATACTCATTGTGCACGTATTTTCATAATAAATTTATGGAAATTTTTTAATTAAAAATACCTGGAAAGTACCTGATACAGTCATACTATTGTAGATTTTGAATGCATGTGGTGTTGACTGTGCACCAGTGCAGAAGGAGAGAGTTATGGGGTCATCAAGGCCTCCACCCGGATTCCAAAAGAAAGCCAGAGGCGCCAAACAGGGTACCCATGAGACGGCAGTGTGTGAAGCTGTGAGAGAGAAGACAAAATGAAGTGCAAAGACCATGGATCTAGTTTTCGTTTCTGGCATATGGAGAGCCAGTTTTTTCCAACACCATTTATTAAAGAGACTGTCGTTCTTCCAGTGAACCTGTTTGGCTCCCTTATCAAAGATAAGGTGGTTGAGTGTGTTTGTAATTATGATTGAATCTTCATATCTATTCCATTCATCTTTGACTCTGTTTTTATTCCAGTACCATGTTGATTTTATCTACAGTTGCCTTGTATATAACTTCAAGTCAGGGATTGTGATGCCTCCTGCCTTGTCTTTGCTGCTTAGAATTGTCTTTGCTATTCTAGGTCTCTTTGTGCCCCAGATGAATTTTAGGAGTGATTTCTTGAGATCTAGGAGGTATATTGATGGTATTTTTATTGGGATTGCATTGAATCTGTAGAAAAGGTTTGGGATAATGGAATTTTCACTATATAGATCTTTCATTTCTTTAGTGAGAATAATTCCAAAATATGTCATTTTTTTTTTTTTTGGTTGCTAGTGTGAAGAGTGTGGCTTCTCTTATTTCTCTCTCTGTGATTTTGTTGTTAATGTATAGAAATGCTATTGATTTTTGAGCACTGATTTTGTATCCAGCTACATTGCTGAATTTATTGTATGTAGGAGTTTTTCAATGGAGATTGGGGGATCTTCTATGTAGATTATCATGTCATGCACAAATAATGATAATTTAACTTCTTCTTTTCCTATCTTTAACCCTTTTATTTCTCTTTCTTGTCTAATTGCTCTGGCTAGTATTTCCAGTACTGTATTAAATAGGATAAGGGGCATTCTTGTCTTGTGCCTGATTTTAAGGTAAAGGTCTTCAGTTTTTGGCCATTTAGTATGATACAGGCTGTTGGTTTGTCATAGCTGGCCTTTATTATATTGAGGTAAGTCCATCTATTCCAGAATGTTTTGTAAGGTTCTTATCATAGATGAATGTTGGAGCTTATCAAAAGCTTTTTCTGCATCTATAGAAATGATCATGTGATTCTTACTTTTGGCTTTATTGATATTGTGGATTACATTTATTGATTTACGTATGTAGAACCATCCCTGCATGCCTGGGATGAATCCCACGTGATCATGGTGTATAATCTACTTGATGATTTGCTGCATCCTATTTGCCAATATTTTACTGAGGGTTTTTACATCTGTGTTCATTAGGGAGACTGGCCTATACTTCTCTTTTTTAGATGGGTCTTTCTCAGGTTTTGGTGCTAGAGTAATATTTGCTTCCAGGAATGTCTTAGGAAGGATTGCTTCCCTTTAAATTTCATTGAAGAGTTTGAGGAGTGTTGGTATTGTCTTCTTTGTATTTCTTGTAGAAGTCTGTAGTGAATCTGTCTGGACCTTGGCTCTCCTTGTAGGTAAGGACTTAATTATGTTTTCCATTTCATGAATAGGTGGTTATTCAGCAGTTTTACAGCTTCTTACCTAGCTTTGGTACTTCACATGTTTCTAGGAATCTGTGTATTCCTTCTGTGTTACCAAACTTATGAGAGTAGAGATTTTCAAAATAGGTATTGATGATCTTTTGTTTTTCTACAGAGACTAGTGATTTTGACTTTTTCATTCTTTATTTCTTCCCTTTTTAAAGTAAGATTGGCTAGGGGCTTATAAATTGTACTTAGTCTTTCAAAGAACCAACTTTTTGGTTTATTGATTCTTTGGATTGTTTTCTTAGTCTCTACTGCATCAATTTCTGCTCTGATTTTTATAATTTCCTCCCTTCTTTTGGCTCTGGGCTTGACTTGCTCTTCTTTTGCTAGATGTTTGAGGTGTGTAGCATCAGGTTATTTGTTTGTATTCATTCTGTTTTCCTGATATGGGAACTCAGTGTAATAAATTTTCCTCTGATGACAGCTTTCATTGCATTCCACAGATTCTGATAAGTTGTATTTGTATTTTCGTTTGCTTGTAGGTATTGTTTAATTTCTTCTTTAATTTCCCCTGTGACCCACTGATTACTCAAGAGTGTGTTGTTTAGTCTCCATGTGTTTGCGGGATTTTTGCAGTTTCCTTTATCATTAATTTCCAATTTTATGGTGCTATGATCCAATAACATGCATGGGATAATTTCAGCTCTTTTGCCTTTATTTAAATATGTTCTGTGGTCTAGTATATGGCCTATTTTAGAAAATGTACTATGTACTGCTGAGAAGAATGTATATTCTGATGTTGTTGGATGGAACACTCTGTACAAGTCTACCAGGTTCCTTTGTTCACAGGTGTGAATCAGTTCTGTTATTTCTTTGCTGATTTTCTGTCTGGTTGATCCTTTCCCTTGTTGTCAATGGTGTGTTAAGGTCTCCTGTTATAATTGTTTTACTCCTAATTTGGTTTTTCATTTCTGTTAATACTTGCTTTATATAACTGGGTGCTCCCAAATTTGGTGCATGTATATTTAAGATTGTTATCACTTCCTTTGGCAGTTTTCCCCTAACCAGTACATAACGACTGAAAGAGTTGCTGGCCCAGACCTGACACTTTAACCAGGAAAAGCCTCAGCCAAGTTAGGGGGCTCCTGCCTCCCCCAACCCTATAGATTTGCCTGTAACCCTATACCCCCATCCCTGGGAACCTGTCCCTGGCGCCAAGCATGTGCCAATGAAATACCTGTGCATCCCTAATGCCCCTTGGGGTCCACCCCAGACAGAGGCTACTTATGGGCCTCACTCCACGTGTTCAGAAGAAGAAGAAGAAGGAGAAAGGGAGAGTGTGTTCCAGAGAGAGACCACCGGCCCCGGGGTGGAGATGCTGCGCCCCGGGGATGGGGGGGTCTCTCCCCGCCTTCCCAAAATAAAGGTTACTTATATATTTCTTATCTTTGCAGCCACCGCCGCGCACTCCTTTCACGGCCGTCCACTCCACTCCTTCCACGGACCTCTTTCCCTTCCTTCCCCTCTTCCTCTCCCTCTTCTCAGACCTAACAACGACCTTCTTTATCTCTTCAAATCATTCTTGGTTTGAAGTTCACATTGTCTGCAAACAGAATAGCTACCCATGCCTTTTCTTGGGTTCCTGTTGCATGAAGTATTATTTCCATCCTTTAACTTTCAGTCTGTGAGTATTCTTTGGGTTAGATGGGTTTCTTGTAGACAGCATATGGTTGGATGTTGTTTCTTGATCCATTCTGCCAGTCTGTTTCTTTTAATTGGTGAATTGAGACCATTTACATTAATAGTTATAACTATTATATGTTGGTTTATTATTGACATGTTGTCTTTCTGCTGTTGTATTTTTATCTTTCCATTCTGTTTAATTGTCTCCTTTACTTAGTAGTTTTTTCTTAAGTGTATCTAAACTATCTTTCAGTATTGTTTGCAGGGTTGGCTTAGTGGTCATGAACTTCTTCAGCTGTTCTTTGTCATGGAAGTATCTTCGATTTTGAAGGACAGTTTTGCATGGTACATCAGTCTAGGTTGGAAATCATTTTCCTTTAGAATCTGAAATACTTCACTCCTTGCTCTTCTTGACTTTATTGTTTGTGCTGAGAAGTCTGCTGTGATTCTGATAGGTTTGCCTTTGTAGGTGATCCCTCTTTTCTCTCTGACAGCTTTTAGTATTCTATTCTTATGTTGGATTACTATGATGGTGATTATTATATGTCTGAGTGTAGTTTTATTTTGGATATGGCTATTTGGATTTCTATATGCTTCACTGATCCTGATAGTTTCCATTCTTGTCTTTGGGAAATTCTCAGCTATCAGTTCTCTAAATATCTTCCTAACATCCTTTATGTTGTCCTCTTCTTTTTCATTTATCCCCATCAATCTTATGTTGTTTTTCTTTGCATCATCTTGCAGCTGTTGAATTGCTGTTTCCTGATTCCTTGTTATTTTTAAAAGATCTTTCCTTTCCTGTTCACTGGCTACAATCTGGTCTTTGAGGTCTGAAATTCTATCTTCATTTTCTTTGAGTCAGTTTTGACAACTTTTAATGAAATTTTTGATTTTCTGTATATCTTTTTTTTAACTGTGTCTTTTTTTTTTTTTTTTTTTTTTTTTTTTTTTTTTTTTTTTGGTCTTTTTCCTTTTTATCAGTACCGGGGATTGAACTCACTACTGCCTGCTTGCCAGCCAGGCACTTATGCCGCTGAGCTAAATCCCCAGCCCCTTTAACTGTGTCTTCTTTGGATATATTCATCATCTCTTTCATTTCTTTTATCATTTCTTCTTTTACCTGGCAGATTATTTCTAGTTTGAATTCCTTTAAAGCTTCCCAGAGTTGTTTCTTTATATCAGTTTCTATTATTTCAGGTATTTCAGGTGTATGACATGTATTTTCCTCTATATACATAGCTCCTAAGGTTTCTTGGGATGGGCTGGAGGTTTGAGATTGTATTTTGGCCTTTTGTTTTGTCATTTTCCTATATTTCCCTGTTTCAAGTGTTATTCCAGGGCTTCCCCAGGCCCTGTTGGATATCTTCTTCTATGTCCTCAGCTCCTGTATCTTTGGCCTCCCATTTCCTTGGATTGAGAGAGTTTCACTGGGGGTGGGGCAGGCAGGCCCAAGCCCTGCTGTGCAGGTTGAATGTGGCAGGAACCTGTGAAATTCTTTGGCTGGAGGGAGCAATGATTCCAAACTCCTGGAATCAGGATGGTGCAGGGACACTCAGCTCAGGCCGCTCAGTTTCCAGAATTTAGGGCACAGGCAGGCCTAAGTCCCCAGCATCTGCCAAGCATGGCAGGAAGCCAGGAAGTTGGTGCAGGCAGGCTCCAGACTAGCTGAGCTGGTCCAGTGCAGCAGGAAGCCCTTAAGTTCCCTGGCTGGGGTGGGAGCCAGGATCTTAAACTCCAGAAACCCTGGGCATGGTGCTGGGACATTCACCCCAGGCCACCCAGGCTCCGGAACACTGTAATTTAAATTTTTAAAACAAAACATGAAGCAAAAACTTCAATAGTTTGACACGGGCCGACATGCTGTATGTGGTTTCAGCTATGTCACACTGTATGTGACTCAGAACTGAAATCAACAGAAAAACTAACAGCAGCAAAATCTTATTAGTGTTCTGGGTGAAGTGTCAGAGTTTATGCTAAAGTTGAAATATTTATGAGATTCAAACAACAATAGTTTTACACCTTTAATAATATTAAACATGATATAAAAAGAGATTAATTTTAATATAAAACTATGTAAACTCTGTTTCAATTCTACAAAGTATTTCAAAAATATTATTGATATTAACAAATTTACTTTTATATATATATATCAATTTTTTTTAAAACTCAGCATTAATGATTTGGAAACACCAAGCTTTCAAATGCATATGCTGTTTCTTTAAAATAAAGTCAGTGTTTAAAAAGAAAAATCGGTTTTGTATTTGTGTACTGTAAATTTTTCAAGCAACTTTTGGTTATTCTATTGAATCAAAAAGTACTTTTCAATATATTTTAAATATTGTGGACATATGTATATTTTTCAACAGTAAAATTTTATTAAATTTAATTACAGATTATATATTTGCACAAAATTTACTGTGAATTGATATAAACTAGAAATATAAAATATATGACTTGCTTGTAAAGACTTATAATGTAATATATTCCTTCATTAATTTTGATATGTTTTACCATTTGAAGCAGTAATTATTTGGATGTATAAGATTTAGTAAATGTATTATGATTAATTAATATATATAGTATATATTATATGTAGAATATACAATAGTGCAATATTATTTAATACATAAATAATTTTATATTTCATTTTGTTTTGAAATGGAAAACAGTAGAATATTTTTAAAACACCTATTTTTCTGCATTACATCTATCTTTATATAGGTTAGAGAAATCTAAGCTACCCTGTTCCACAACAGAAAATACAAATCAATCACTAAATTATTGCAAATACACTGCTTGGCTTTGGTGAGTAAAAACTGCTCAGTGTACTGGACCCCTTGTAAAACAGTGTTGCTTCAAATGAGAGAAAATGAACCTTACTGAATTTAGAGCTTTAGCACAAAAGTTTAAGTTTAAAAGTTATGCTATGTAAGTAGAGATGAAACTTTTGATATAAAGGGAAGGTTACTGCATCTTAACCACTGGCTAGAAGAAGAAAAAAAAAATGCTGCAAGATGGACCAAAGATTTCTAGAATCTTGGGTATTACAAGGCACTATTATTACTGAGATTGGTGTCATCTGATGTTTATTGCATGCCTACAGTCAAGTGACTAAAATCCCGGAGTAGAAACATGTCATTCACAAGGACAAACGTTCTGTGAGAGCCAGTGAATACACAGCCACAGATCCTTGAGGGAGATTTTTTTTCATACCCACCAAGGCCTAAGGTTAGACTCAGCAGCAAGGCCTAGTAAGTCAAAAGGAATTCGTGAGATGGATCAGGAGTAAGAGCAGAAGGTTCTTGCAGACAGCTCATGCCCACCTCATCTTCCTCCACAAGGACACTCCTGACAGCAGGCCATGGGAGCGTCCCTGAGGGTGGCCCACTGATGAGACCTGACACAGAAAAGCAGGGCACACATGACAGCAGCAGGAGTATGACTCCCACAGGGCTGACTCCAAAGTCAGTGGTGAGGAAAACCCTCCCAAGGCACTGAACTTTTACAGAGGGCATGTGATCCTTCCTGTGGGGAGAGAGGATGCCTCTAGGTTACATGTCAGGGTCTGCGGTGAAGGGGCAGAAACACTTGAACAGCTGGGAAGGTAAGAAGTTAGTAAGAACAGCAGGGAGGTTTAGAGTGGACATAAGTGGAAGTATCTAGTCCAGGGGAGAGGAAGTATAAAAATAGTTTACACCTCCTTAACACATTCCCAAGGAAGAGGTGCTAAATGTCCCGAGCAAAATGACATTGCCTGTCGATTTCCAGTATTTTCATCAGCCTTGGCTGCAGCAACAAGATGAGCACAGAGATAAAGTAGCCTTGGGGACAGATGAGGCAATGGTGGACCCAGCAGCACACACTGGTGCTTGCCACCTCTGGTTCAAATTCCGTATATCCAGTGTTTCTCTAGTTCAGTCCCAGGCTAGATTCCCACATGCCTTAGGCATCAGCCATAGCACCCTTACTGCTCTTGAGTGCTGTCCTTCGTGGTCCTTTCTCCTGGCACACTCCTTAGCCTAGCATCCCCAGGAGGAGAAGCTGCCACAAAAGCTTAGGTACTGATGTTTCCTTAGACACCTCTTTAGGGTGCTGCGGTAGAAGGCAATGTGTGAGGCAGGGACAGAGGAGCATTTGTAGACAGCCACCACTGGGCGTCACTAGTGAGTAGACTGCAGAGGACTGGTTAACTAGGAGGCTCCTGGGGAAAAAGAAGGAACTCTCCTCTCCTGAGGGCCCTCCTCTGCTTTGCAGGCCCTGGCTGCCCAGCTTGCCCAGAGTTCACCGGCTCAGAACAGGGAAGGAAATGATACTGTGCGCTTGAGATGGGGGCACTGCTTGTTTCCAGAGCCTGAAGGTCTGCTCTCTGGAAATAAACATGATGGTGCCAAATTAGTGGTAATAGAAAATTACATTCATCCACAGACATCCCTTAAAAAGAAATAAAAATTTCTTGTAAGTAGGTGAAAAGTTAGTAGAGATAATGAGTGAATACAAATTAAACGAGACAATCATGCAATCAAACAAAAAAAAATTAACTGTCTAATATCATGAGTTATCTAAGAATCAACATCTCGTACTTGACAATGTATGAGAGCTATTTTGGGAAGCAGCAGATATCATGTGAAAATGATTGTTTTAATGGACTGACTTAAAATTTAACTTCTAGTTATGTGCATTCATAAATCGCATGCACCTGGCCTCCAGGAAGCATGTACAGGGTTTTCATGAGACCGTTATTATTAACAATTCCATCAGGAGATGAGCCTGCACGTGTACCCTGCAACCATAAGGCTGCCACTGGGACAGATGCTCTTTAAAGCCACTATAAGCAGAGTCAGAGTTGCCGCTTCTGGGATACATTCCAAGCTCTGACATAGCTGCACACAGCCCTGGAATCCAGTGTTCAGTGTTGTCTGTGAGATGTGAGCACCCCAAGGAAAATACTGGTCTCAGGGTCCATTCTCCTTCTTCCCCCTTTAACAAAACGGAAAATCAGTGGATTGACTCAAATGAAGAAATTGGGGAGACTATATATGGAGGAAGTAGATTGTTAAGTGTGGGTGATAAAGGGTCAAATCCTTGTATTTCCAGTTGTACCACTGTGGATTCTGGTTCCCAGTGATAGGGAGGCTGAGGAGGGCACTTCCCTTTGGAGATGTCTTTCCTGAATGTACAGATGTAGCAGTAATTAGAGACCAGGATGCACAGAGATACTGCAGGTTACTGCAACTCTTCCCATTCACATGGACTCCTCTCCCCTCCAGACACGTGGGAAAAGGTCATAACACAGGGTTGCATGGCTAGGAGTTTCCCTTGCTGTGTTCATTATGAGAAGACTGCAGAGTTGTGAAACCATAAACCGAATGATTCAGCTGATGTTTGAAATCCAAGTTTCAAAACAAACAAGATTTTGAGTTTTAGTTTTCATGGAGAAAGGCCCTTGCTGTGCCACCCTCCCTGAGGCTCTGGGGGCCCTTCTGGCCCTGCTCAGGGGTTCCCCTGTAAAACCAGCCTGCCTGGGGTTCAGGAGGAAACCAAGGGGCAGGAGTTGCTCCTCTGCAATAAGCTCTGTCTCCACTGATGGCTGGATGTGAACAGGGTGATTGCACAGGACTCCTTGGCCTGCAGTGAATACTAACTATTAGTTTTTCAGGGATCCCATCACAGTGAGGAGCTAAGGAGAAGCAAAGGAGGAATTAGCAGGCAAGGTGAAAGAGAAGGACGGAGGACTCACATGGTGACTTAGACTCCCCTGCAGGGTCTTAGCACTCTGAGGTCTTACATAGAAAGCAAAGGGTCAGCAGTGCTGCAACTACCAGAGATGAAAATCACCTCAGGATAAACACTTCCTACTCTCCTGCCTTTTGTACTAATTAATACAACTTTAAAACTATTGGTTAAAAGGCTGTCTGCTAGATGACTATTTAGTTTCATTAAATTCTCCCATATTAGGTAATAAGACATCAAGAAATACTAGGAATAACAACATATCCCCAGCTCTCTAGGCTGGGAGCTAGATGGGCCCTGCAGCCCCTCCTATCCACTGCTGGGTGTGTTTCTGTCCCCGTGTTGCCCTGCACCTGTGTAAATTTACATGTACTCAAAGCTGAGGAATTGTGAGCCCTACCGTGTAAGAGGCCATCAGTAAAGTGGGGAAGCATAGCTGAGGACACATCTGATGCCTGGGAGCATACATAGGCAGAGAGTTTGATTATTTTTTCCTTCAGAGCAGTGGCAACGGAGGTGGTGACTAATAATGCCAGTGGCACTAACCCTGCCAAACGCAGTCCTGTACGGAGGATGGAGGGAAAGGCTTTAAAAAAGTGATAAGAAAATAGAGAAGTATAAAATACAACATTCTGGTTTTAAAGTAGGACATATTTCACCTCAAATTGTATTTATTTACTTAAAAATACGTGGCACAAAACTGTCCTCTGGGCAACTAGATACATTTCTAATTAGTCTGAAAAAATGATATTTATCTAATATTCTATAATAAAATATGAAAATACTCCCATTATTTTTTTAAAGAAGGCACAGAAGTGTTAACTGTTCTGGGTCAGTCAGCTTTGCTGCTCACTCACAGGCACTGGCACAGTGCTCCAGTCCTCTCCTCAGAAGAACTCTCCAGAATGTGTCCTGTACAAGGGGCCCAAGGTCACCCCACAGGATGACATCCCACTGCTGTGACAAATCATCATTATTAGTAGTATTATTGCTCAGCAGTTTCTGACTGCTACCCGCTGATGTCTCAAACTCTTGGAACTTGTCTGATTTTGTCTTCTTTCCCTGGTAATCACTCTCCTTCATACTTGGATGAAAAAATCCACAAGTAAAATAGAGTGAATGTGGAGAAATTCAATAAAAGGGCTTAAAGGAAAATGAAACCGCCTTCTCAGAATTTGTGAATCAGATGATGACTAGGAAACTGTGAAAGTATTAACAATGATATCACTTGATTTAACTTGTTCCATAAAGGGGATTTTATAATTTTTCAGAAAATTTCCCAGCTATTGTCACACAACCTACTTTTTCTGTTAAATAAGCAACTGACATTTAACAAATCACTTCAACCCCCAAACGAGGCTCACTTTCAATCATCTACAAATAAAAAAAAAACATTCTATATCTATACAAACATCTTCCAGATAGTGGTTTGAGAAATAAAAATAAATGAAAAAACAGTATTTCGGGAAATAGTCTTACACATTTGCTACACATTCTCTCCACAGTAAATACATTCACCACAGCCTAGAAGAATCAGATCTTCAACTCTGACTTCCTCCTGCTGAGAATCTTCCATGACATCCCCACCCACACCTTCCTCTTCCCACTGGTCCTGGCCATCTTCACAGTGGGCTGTGTGGGAAACGCGGCCATGGTTCTGCTCATCTACCTGGATGCCCAGCTGCACACACCCATGTACTTCTTCCTCAGCCAGCTCTCCCTCATGGACCTCATGCTCATCTGCACCACTGTGCCTGAGATGGCCATCAACTTCCTGTCTGGCAGGAAGTCCATCTCTCTGGAAGGCTGTGGGGCCGAGATCTTCTTCTGTGTGTCCCTGCTTGGAGCTGAGTGTTTTCTGCTGGCCGCAATGGCCTATAACCTCTATGCTGCCACTTGCCATAGTTGGAGGTACCCAGTCCTCATGAGTCAGAAGCTCGGTGTGCTCCTGACTGCTGCTTGCTGGAGCTTGCATTCTCTGGATGATACCATCATGCTCAGAGCTCCCCTGTCATTCTCCTCCTGCCACTCTCTCAAGGTTCATCACTTTTTCTGTGGTGTGGCAGCCTTCCTACCTCTCTCATGCACAGATACATCTACATTCGAAAGGTTGTTGTTCATCTGCTGCGTGGTGATGCTCATCTTCCCTGCTGCAGTCATTGTCACTTCCTACTCCTGTGTCCTTCGAGCTGTCATTGACACAGGTCTGGGGAAAGTCACTGCAAAGCCTTCGCCACCTGCACCTCACACATGGTAGTGGTTGGGCTCTACTCTGGGGCTGCCATGTTCATGTACATGAGACCAGCCTCCTTGCCCACCCCAGAGCAGGACATGATGGTGTCAGCCTTCAAGGCCATCCTCACACCAGTGCTGAACCAGCTCATCTACAGCCCGAGGAACAGAGAGGTATCCAGGCTTAGGGAGCTAGTGGAGGGAGGAAAGATCCTATGATTTTATAGCAATCCCAGGAAAGTCCATTCAGGGAAACAAGGAGACTGTAGTCCCCTGCATTACCCTATTGAAGCTTTCTTTACTTATTTCTGCTCTTGTTCTGTCAGACTTAGGAGTTAACTCATTACTCTTTCACTGAGAGGAGCTGAGCAGTAGACAGGCTGTGTCCACCTCTGCCAGTGTCAGTCTTTTCCTCAGTCCTCAGCCATGAGTGCTTGTTGATTCTTAGATGCTGCATTTCGAGTCGGGAATACATCTGAAGGCCGTGTGTCTCATATGAGAATAAGGGTTCCAGCTGGTCCAGCCTTTGAACACATGCATCTCTGTTCATGGATCAATCTCCTAGCAGTGTGTGCCTTCAATTTTTACGGTGTTCAAAATTTGTATGGGATATTTTTACCTTTATCTTTCTCTACTTAATTCCCAAACATTTAGGTGTGGGGAATCAGTGTGGGCACTTCCTTCAATTAAGGTTTTATATAAAATGGTTCCTATCAATTACTCTTACCTACCTTGATAAGTGTAGATTTTTAATGAGTTTGGATAAAACATCTCTTCCATGTGGCACCACAGTCACCCTTGGTATGTTTATTTTTATTTATCTTTCATTCTTACAGTATAGAATTTGCCTGAGAAATTAGAGAACTATCAGTGTCTGGAATTGGCAACTTTGTTTTGTTTTAATAAAATTTAAATAAAAATATTTGTTATTAATTAACTTTAAAAATCTTCCCTCTCCATCTCCCTCTCTGTGTCCCCCTTTTTTAGGTGCTAGAGATGGAGGCCCTGGCCTCACAGGTGGCTGTGCCTTGGAGCTATACTCCCAGTCCTTTTGCTTTATTGAAATAGGATCCAGCTGGCCTTGAACTTGAATTCCGCTTTCCTCAGCCTTCTTAAATCATAGGAATGTGCCACACTAACTGGTTAAAAATGATTCTTTAGTATTTCTGGTTTCTAAATCTATCCAGGTCAACTGTCCTAATGTTCTGCAAGGGGGCTATGCTTTGATAAAACATTTATTTTTCCACTGTTATCACATGATTATAATTTGCATATCTGAAGCCCCTGCTCCTCAAGAAATGAAAATAGACATTGCCCCTTCACAGCAATTGCCTTGATTTTTCTATCTTGAAATCCAACCTTTAATTTAATAGTATTTTGTGTTTGAATTTCATCTTACTATATCTAGATTTTATGACTAAATGACATGACCATTGGTTGCAATGGGTTACATTCCTCAGGCAACTACAAAATATTCTGTGGCTAGTAGAATAGTTTCACTATTTTTATTTTTAGTAAAATTCACGGATCAAAAATGCAATATTCAATGTTCATAATTCAGCAATTGTAAATATATTCCTATGCTTGTGAGAACATTAACATGAATCTATTTACAGTTTTATTATTCTGAGGAGAACTCACAAGTGTTAGCATTTATATCTCCTTCACTCTTGCAATTGTTTTCCTAGTTCCCAATTTTATGTTATTATGTCATATTAATGAGATGTAATAATGAAATTCACTTTGAAATATTGGTACATGCACACAGAGTATTTTTATTACTTTACCCTTAATATTCCTCTTTTCTTTACTTCCTGTGATCTTCCTCCACATAGCAAATAGCAAATGCACTACTTTCTATGTCATTCTCTCTCTCTCTCTCTCCCATAAATCATATAAGGAAAGGTGGAACTTAGCATAATGGACCCCCAGTTTCCATAATTTTTTTCTGTAAGGACATGAATCTGAGCGAATATTAGCCAAAAATGAACTGGATTTGGAAAACCAACAGCAGGATACTGAGAGAAAACTCCTTGTGTTCCCAAGAAGGGCACTTTCAACCTTGCAAACTCCACTATTAGGTGGCCTAGCAAATTTTAATCTACACTGTCCCACTTTGAGACAAAACCTCAAGACAAATTCTAGTGATCCTATTCCAGGGAAGCCTCATTTACGTTGATTGGCATTGCTTTGCCCACCCTCCCATGGGATTTGCTCACCATGATGGTTAAATGTAGGACCATTTTAATTTCAAACTTCCCCTCCCAGAATGAGCATAGAGACTCACACTGGACTGGAAAGAAGCCCACTAAGTGACCACCAGTAAAATGACTCAAAATTCTAGGAATGAAAATAAAAAAAAAAGTCTATTCTTAAAAGTTTGGTTTAGCATTCTTAGTTTTCCAAGCAACGGGGACCTCTGCAGCCAAGATAAGAAGAAAATCCTGGCCACTGCTCCAGCTGGCAGCAGACCTCAGCATCATCCACATGGCACTGTTTCAGGTGCATAAAGAATACACGAGGTCTGAGGTTAAAAAGGCTTCCACCACGATTTCAAAAGGCCTGTGATGCCAGGCAGTGCGCCCCTGAGAGGGAAGCATATAAAGCAATGAGTGAAAATCCAAAGGTACTGTGGAGATACTAACTGTTTGAAAAGTCAAAAATGTGGATCATCTTTAAAAAAAATGTCACAAGGAGGGAGCAAAGTCAGCCTCTGCCACAAAAAATCCATAAGATCTATATCCACCTACAGTGCCATGGGGTAAAACCGCACAATCCTTATGGAGCTCACAATTCGCCACAGATTGCTTCATGTGCTGGAATTGCAGCTATAGGACTTAACATTTGCCCTGCTGGGTTTTATAATTGTTTTGGTCCCAATTCTTTGCATTCCCATTTGTAACTTTTGAAATGGGAATGTTTATTGTGTGTCACTGTATTTTGGATGTGTTAAACTTTGTTTTCATTTGTACAGGGGCTTGCAGCTTAGGTTTGCCTTACATCTCAGAGCAGACATGAGACTTAAACTCTTCAGCAATGCTAAAGCTGTTAGGACTTTGGCAAATAAATGCCTTCCTCATAATGGAATGCACATGAGTTTTTGGGGATCCTAGGACAAAATGTTATTTTTCTAATGTACATAATGTTGATAGAATTAATGTTGGTTTTTAAGGATTGTTAAACTGTGGTATAATGTTAAAGTTGCAAAATGTTAAGAATAAACATGTCTTATATCCACAAATGAGTTTAAAAATAATTATTTTGCTTTCAAGTTGTCAAGGGATAGATTTTTAATGGTTGGTACATTGTGTAAACTTGAGAAGTTTATAAGTTTTAAGTAACACTCAGCAGGAACCAGTATACTTACATTGTAAATATCCTCACTCTGTGCAAGAGGAGGACACAGAGATTTTGTGAATGCTGCACCCTCCATGGACAGGTGGTGGGGGTGGGGACTGGGTTTGGGGTGGGGAGTGTGGCCTGTGTGCAACATAAAGGAAAAATAAAGCCTTGCTCTTGACTCCTTTTCTTCTGGCTGCTTTTCATGGCTGCTGTGCCTCTGTGCCATGCCAGCCTGTCTTGGAGCCAGCTAATGATACAATAAAACTTCCATAAACAGTGAGCTAAATAGGGATGGCGTTAGGACCAGGAAAGAGGCGTAGGATAGGTAATCACAGAAGGAGCATAAACATACAATAGGTTGACATTTGTTACATGGTCACATTAAGGAAAGGTTCTGGTTTAATGTCAGTGTGTGGAGGTTAGAAACAGTGTTCACAGTTCATTGTGTTGTTTGGCTGAAGCATGGATCAAGAGCCAGCCCACAGGCAATGAGCTGGGAATGTCTGATATTCCTCAGGTCACCGTGGGTGAGGCTTTTCAGATTCTCAGAGAAATGGAAATGCTGGGCAAATTCGCCAAGCCCAACCTGTTGCTTAGCAGTTAGGTTGTCCAGGAGATGCACCCTTCATGACAGCCTTGAGAAACAAGCAGCACCCGCATTGTTAAAGGGCTCCAGGATTGCTCTTCTCTGTGTCCCTGGCCTTACGCTATGTACACAAAATCCACAATCCTTGCTTATGTGAAGACTTGTCATTTCTGATATCACTTTCACACAGATAGGAATATGTATGGAAAGAGCGTTTGTGATGAAATCTGAGGAATGATGTGCATGCTCAGAGCTGTAGATGTGGGCGGTGCTGGTCATACTAACGTTGATAAAACTCCAGAATATTTAACTACCTATGTGTGCTCTGCCTTCCCTGTACCTGAAGAATTTGTTTCTCAGCTTCTAGGACTGAATTTCCACCACAGATGCTGCGTCAGCTAAAGAGCTGTTTGTGCAGGAAGCCCAGTATACCTGCTTAGTCTGGCATTTGGGTCAACTTAGGGAAATGTAAGAGCACTGCCCCAACTTCATGGCTTCTGTCCACAAAGCCAAGGCTCTTGAGAGCTTTACCACTGATCACCAGATATCGATGAAAAATCCACCTGGAACCATATGCAAATCACACAAAGTCCCTGGCACAAATCAGAGGGCTATGATATTATATTACTCTATTATTTTGCAATACTAGCAAAAGAACCTAGGGCCTTTGCAGTGAATTACACTCTCAGCCCTTGTTAAAATTTCTTTTATTTAGAGACAGGATTTTGCTAAGTTGCTGAGATACCAGACTAGGCTGAAACTTGTGATCCTTTTGCTTCAGCTTTCTTAGAGTGCTGGCATCACAGGTGTGAGGCACCACATCCTCGTCCAACTTTAATATACTGAACAGTAGAGAACTGTGATTATGCAGGAAAGCAAACGAATTATCCATTGTGAAATGTATTGGCTTTAAGGAATGGGAAAGTAACCACTGGAACTGGAACAAGTCTTTTCATGCTGTGAAAAAATGTGAGTAGTTGTCATCTGAATGCTGAGCAGGGCTCTGGAGAGGGTCTTTGGGGTCATCTCTGATCCTACCCTGGAGGACAGAGAAACCAGAGTCAAATCCGAGAACTCTGAGTAAATTACATTGCTTCCCTAAAAGACTGTCGCAGTGAGAAGAGCTCTGCCCACCAGGGCTCTGGGTCAGGAGGAGGGGACCCTGGTTAATGGGTGGGGCATATGAATTTCCTCCTCTGAGCTTGTTGTCCTCTGAGGGACTAAAGTGCCCCAGCCCTCCTCATTGGAAACAGCAGCCCCTTCCAATCAGAACTGTGCAGAAGTTTCCACC